AGAGCCATTTGTAGAACTTGAAGATGATTGTTTTTTGAGAATGTTGACAATTTAATCTAAAAATCAATTGAATTTCACTGCAGTCAGAAAATTGTACATCCTCTTTGTATCCAAATCCTCAGAGCCTTAGGGGAAAAAGCCTTTGAGGTAAAATATAAGAAGAATTTTAATGGTTTATTCGGAAAGACAGAATTTAGAGGGAATGGGAAAGAGAAGAAGGTAACGAGTATGATGTGCTTTTTTCCATTTGCTCTGGCACACAAACTCTGTTTTTCCTACTCATCCTTGTGTTACCCAACTGGTTTCAGCACCTCATGTCTTGTGTTCTCCTCAGCTTTATACATCTCTGCAAATTCAAAGAAACACTTCTAACTTACTCTTTCTGGCTATGTTTTGGAATGAATAAGTGAATTGAATAAGTGAAGGCTGAAGTGACGCAGTGAAACAAGTCTGAGAGATCTGAAACGCTTCAGAATTTCAAAATATGCTTTGCATGTTACTTAAGATTTTTTGAGAAATTGTGTTGTTTACTCTATGTAAATGCAAAACTGCTGAAGAAAATCCTGAAAAAGGAGGGAGTAGTGGTTATGTCTTTAAAAATTAATGCAGTGAATAGATACTGCTACTAAAGGTATTCTACAGTCTGTTATATGAGCAGGATTAATAATTTCATACTTTTTTTATAGGATTCATCTCATTTTACAGGGCCTGTAGATGTCAAATTCTTCAATTACTCTGAAATTCTATGACCTGCATTTATATAAATTAATGTAATATGATTTCTAGCTAACAATATTTTGTATATTTGTAATCACAACATTCACTTGGGTATACGTGAGTTCTCTCAATTTTATTTTGGGAAGCTACTATATTGTGAGTGGCTAGGGAAGGAAAATCCATTTGATAGCAGCAGGAGAAATTAGGTAGCTTGTTACTCATTCCCTATCTATGAGGCCATAGGTTTTTGTATATAGTAATATACATTTGTGGGGTTTTTTTCTCCAAAAATACCATATGTATAATGTGACTCTGTTATTCTCCACCAGGTATATGGTGTTCATCTTGTAAATGGTTGCTTTGGAATAGTATTTAAATCCAGAATCTGCTGTAAACTGAGTTCTCATATGTTTTTTATTGGTGAGCAAAAGACAAATACCTCATCCCACCTTTCAACAAGTCCCCAGACCTGCTCAGCAAAAATGATGAAGTAGCTGAACTGTGCTTCATCATAATTCCATGCTCTCAATGCTCAGAATCTCAGATATAGGTTGTAACTAGAGGAACAGTTACTTGGATAAGCTTTAGCAGCTGGAGGTAGGATTTAGACAGTTGCCACCAGGATGCTTTTGTCTCCTGTTTTTGACAGCTCTGGTCAGTGCTGAACTGGTTCTCCTTTGCTCAGAGGTGATGCAGGATGTGTGCATGTATTGCCCAAGCTCACACAAATTTCTGGTGGTTCAGGGCAGAGAGAGATTAGGGCATAGCCTCAGAATCCTCCCTTTGTTTTAGGCACACTTTCACAGTTTTGCATGTTTGTCATTTCCATCCTTCACCCCCTTCCAGAAAAAATTAACAGATGCCTTATCTCCAGTCTCCAGGTGCTGTCATAGTGTCAGTAATGTGGAGCACTTGAATTCCTACACAGTGCACGCTGTAGATATGTAGATGTAAAATATCTCCTGGCTGTCGTGTACAAACTGCAGCATTGTGAGGCAGTAAATCCTTATAAATCATGAGTTTTTCAGAAGAATTTGTTTCTTTTCTTCCATTGTATGATGCTTCTAATAATTGTCTTGTGTCTAAATATTTTCATTTTCAGTCAGTAATGCTTCAGCTTTCATTTTAGGTTGTTTGTATTAGAAGAATTTCCTATTTTTGACTTGTCTTTAATAGGCTGGAAAAAAACTGGTGTTTTTATAGTTTCTATGTGAAGGGGTTTTTATTTTATGTTCTACTACTTGTTTGTTTTTCCACTACAGTGCTTCGTCATCTGTCATGCCTCAATGTATACACGATGATAAACTCCCTGTCCCATTCTCCAGAGAGCTCCATTCTCTAGGAGTCAGGAATGCTTTGCTTCTCTCAGGATTGGTGCCATATTATGAGGACAGTGTATTGATTTGGTTGACTGCCAGCATGTGATGCATGACAGAAATGAGAAATTGAACTTTCTGAACGTGAAGTAAATCGTGCTGCTGATGATATATAAATTATTAAGGGAAAAGCAATCAATCAGATGTTCTCTGTTGGCAGCAGAGCTACATACAATTTAATATATAGTAACCCAACAGTTGTTTTACAGTCTAAATCAAATAGTGTTCTGAATCATTCTTGCAAAGATTACTTGGAACAGTTCTGGGTTTAGCACGCTTTCCTTTTGACTTTACCAGTATGTGGTCTGGTAATTTAGAAGTATTGAACTGACTTTATTAATTCTTGTTTTTTCTTGTCAAGAGCTACAGATTGTTTTGTCTAGACTGCTTATTACTAGTTTAAATTGGTTGATCTTTAAATAATTTTAACTTGTAAGTAGAGTTGTTTTGAGTCCCAGATATCTGCAGAAGTAGTTTATTATAGCCACAGGTAATTGGACTTTAAAACAACCACTAGAGACATGAATAGGCCCATTCTCTCTTTTGGCAGATGTTTTGCAAATATTAGACTTATAGCAAATTGTCTTTGGGTATTTTAGCAGTACACAAGAGCATTCATTTGCAGGTAACTATAATATTCTTTGCTCTTCTCCACGCTCTGAAATGAATGGGATAATTGATCCCTTTTGGAAAGAGTGAGAAGTATTTTAATGAAAGCTTAAAGACACTTCCTGAAATTTTTCTTATTGATACCTATTAACAAGTCTTGTCATTCTGTGTCTGTCTCAGCTTATCATTTGCCCAATGTTAAGTCCCTTAAGCAACAGGGAATTCTGCTCAGTTCTCCCCAAAGCCACCCAGAGCTGTGGAGTTTGGAATATTCAGTTTGAACTTTTGGGTGAGAGTTTCCAAGGATTCTTCTCTCCTAAAAAGTTGTTGTCAGTGTTTGCTTAGTGTTAAGGTGGTGAGAATCAGGGAGAAGCTGAACCATGTTTTCCTGGTAGAGGGTAGTGCTGAAGCATTTGGCAGCCAGCTGGAATGTAAATCCTGGGCTTCTCTTGTGTGAACCCTGGTATAATTAGACAGTTCAAGGCTAAACTGTTCATAGGCAGTTCAGCAAAAAAGTTCTTCTAACAGATATTCTAAAAAATACAACCAAATAAAAAGCCATTTAGGCCTTTTATAAACTTTTTCTATTACACAGAAAAGTAGGGTTTTTCTCTTCTGAAACTTATTTTGCCATTTGTTTTTTTTTCAGAAATAAAATAAAAATAAAATATTTATTTATTAGCTGTGAAGTTTAACGGTTTAGTTACCTCAGAATTAAATAAATTACCTTGATTAATCCCACCACAACAGTAAATGGTATTAGAATGTGGAATTTGCCGTTGGTAGGCAGGGTAGATGTCAGAATATCAGCAAAGCTTGATGATATTCCAAAAAAGTATGAATTCCTGAACTTTCTAAGGATGTTCTTTTATATTTTTCATAAAATGGAGTAAATTGCTTTTACTTCTCAAGATCAGCCAATATGATTATTCATCTTTATTTTATTTTAGACTTTATTTTATTTTAGATTTTATTTTATTTCTCTCTCTGAAAGCCTAGAGAAAGACTTGACAAATATAAAGTATTGCTAGGCAAGGAAACATACGTAAGCTGTCTGCCTCTTTTCTGAAGACAGACTTGTGACCAGGAAAGTAAAAGAGTCACACAAAACTCTGGAATTGCTATCAACCTACTATAGAAATGTATCTACCAAAATACTTTTTAAAATTTTGTGCATTAGATAGATTTTTATAGCTGTGTCAGTGTTTTTACAGATTATTTGGTTCATGTCTTCAAACTTGCTTGCCTTCCACTAATGCTGTAAACCTGGGTTCTACTTGGATTATAAAAAATTAATGATGCTCAGGAACAGTTTTATAGATTCTATGCATTATTCCCTGAAATTCAGTGGTATTTGAGCACAGTAAAATGGTGTTTAGTGTACAAATTTGTCCTTTGTCTGTGAGTGAGGACTTAAAATCAAGGTGTTTTATATATTTGTTATCTCAATTTGCAAAAAAGTCATGGTTATTATTCTGTGTTTTAGTTGATTTTATTAACAATTTTTCATGAGAAAAGTATTTAGATTAATGTATAATGAAATATTAATGAATATTGTATTTTGTGGTTTTACAGTAGATTTATTTCTGATGCCTCATGATCATTTCTGCACACCAACTCCAAGCATGCAACTTGGCTCAGCTGCCATTTGGGAACCCAGATTCCTTTTTCATGGATACATTTTATGACTGTGTGAACATGTGCTGTGTTCTGCCATGGTTTTCTTGGGTGATGGGAATTTTTTTTTTCCTTTGGTTGATTCCTCATGGATGTTTTTTTTGCCACTGATAGGTGTTTCATCTGCTATAGTTGGTTTCTGTGAGGCCTCTCATAAGCCCCACTGAATGTGGCTGTCTTTTACTGCATTAAAGCCATTTCTGAAAAAGAATTATGCTGTTTTTTGCAACTAAAAACTAAACATTGCTGGCGCTGATGTTTCAGCTCAGGGACAGAAGTTACAGCGAGCTCATGCCGTTTTATCCAGCCTTGGGATCAGAAGTTACCTTAAGCTGATGTACAGCTGCTATCTAGAGATGGAATGTGTGTAGACTTAATTTGATTTAAAGGTCTGTTTTGTTAATACATTCATGTAATATATCTTTAAATAAAATACAAACCCAACAGTTATTAAAATACACCCAGGATTGCCTTTTGAAGTTATATTTGGAATGATCTGTGTCTGTATGTTTATAAATAGCTTAATTTTAGAAATATATTTTATATTATTTGAGTTAATGAGCTGTTCCTCATGATGTCAGAAGATATGTGTATCTCACTTGTTTATTCCTGTTTTTATAGATGGCTATACAACAGATGACATTGAATTTTACTGGCGTGGGGGTGATAATGCAGTCACAGGAGTGACAAAGATCGAACTGCCACAGTTCTCCATTGTAGACTACAAGCTTATCACCAAGAATGTTGTTTTCTCTACAGGTTTGTAGAGGGAACTTAAAAGGGGAATTCTTTGAAAGACTTTTGAAACTGGATTAATTCTCAGTGTGCAAATGAGGAGCAAAACTTTCAGGAACAGGAGTAACACAGAGCAGCAGCTGTGAACTTGGAAAGCAGAAGTTTTTCTTACAGCTTCCGTAGTGTATAAGGCATCACTCATTAAGAGTGAAGAGGGGATGTCATGTTAAGGCTCATCAACAGCTGTATTTTCTGTTTACCTGTGAAAACTGCTTAAGCCACTTGTGTACCTCTGTGCCATAAACCCAACCCAGAGTGTAGGAAATTTAGGAACCTTTTTCTCTGTATTTTTAGATGTTCCTTTTTCCAAGTTGGAGATGTAGTAGACTAATTATTTTGTCTTCAATATAAAATCTTTTAAATGCTTGTTCCAGGATTTCCAGTTTAGGCTGTTCTAGCAGAAGTAGAAGGATGAAAAGATGATCTCTGAGAAGAAGCAGAAAATTAGATTTGATTTCATGAAATAAAAATAAAAAAACAACACAGACGAACAAAAACAAACCAACAAAAAAACCACAAAAAACAAAATGAAACTCCACTAACACATTTTAATGACATTAAATTGTTCAAGAGAGGCAAGAGTTGGATTGGGCTGTTACTAGGAGATGTTTTCTACCTACTTGAGAAACCCATTAAGTGTGTTAAAAAAAATTATATTCAAAACTTATTTTCCAAATATGGGTAGAAATCATCTTTGGAGGGACTATAGAAGGATTGTAGATCCCAAATTCTTCAAAATCAAGCAGAAACGGGACTTGAAAAATGATTTCTAGGCACTCATATTAACAAATGTTTCATATACTACAATATTTCTGCCTCCCCTCCTATTATTATTATTGGAATAATAATAATATTATTTCTGACAAAAGATGAGTGTTGCATTTCTTGGGGAGAAGTTTAGGATAAAGGTTACACTGAAGCTGACATATGAGAGTTTTTCAGGGAAGTTTTTCTGTGCTTTGTTGCTCTGACATGTATTTTGGCTCTTGATTGTTGGATGTTATGATTACCAGCAGATAAGCAACTAGACCATCTTTGTACCCTTAACATAAAAGATTATTTGATTCCAATTCTTGCTAGAAATTCTGCAGCTGAATATCTTGGATCTTTCAGCTCTGAGTGTACTAAATGTTAAATGAAAAAAAAATAAAACCAAAATGACAGAAAAGGAAAATGTTTTCAGGCATTATACAAATAAATTATGGCCATACAAATATTCTCTTTTAGGTGCCTACCCAAGGCTGTCTCTCAGCTTTAAACTTAAGAGAAACATTGGTTACTTCATTCTGCAGACCTACATGCCTTCTATTCTGATCACTATCCTGTCCTGGGTTTCCTTCTGGATTAATTATGATGCTTCAGCTGCAAGAGTTGCTTTAGGTAGGCATTTTTACACATCTCATGCAGTGTGCTCTAGCTGAATGGTTTTTCTAGCTTCCGGCTGAGTGGATAATGCATGCTTTGAAAATAAAAAAGTATATGTTAGACCTGTATAAGTCTGGTTTGTCAAGCTTTGTATTATTTGAATCAGCATTTAAAACATCAGAATTTAAATAAAACTTAAAGTGATTTCATGTCTGAATCAGCTAACTGTATAATATTGTAACCAAAATTAGCCTAATTGCCTAAACATATTCCGTTGTTCTTTTGCTATTTGTTTTTTCTCTGAAAAGAATGGGCTTAGTTTGCTTTTGCCCATGGCAGTCCAGAACACACATTCAGCACTGTGTTATGGATTATAAATTGCTTTTCCTTTCAGGAATTAAATGAAGTTTTACTAGGGTTGCATAGTTGACTTGTCCTTATGTTGAGGGAAGAGGCTGTGCATCCTGTGTCCAGTGTCCAGGGAAAGAGAACTGAGGAAGGGTTTGGAGCACAGGACTGATGAGGAGCAGCTGAGGGGGCTGGGGGAGCTCAGCCTGGAGAAAAGGAAGCTCAGGGGGACCTCCTTGCTCTCTAAAACTCCCTGGGAGGAGGTTGTAGCCACCTGGGGGTTGGTCTCTTCTACCACATAGCAAGTGAAAAGGATAAGGGGAAATGGCCTCAAGTTATGCCAGGGAAGGTTTAGATTAGATCCTAGGGGAAAATTCTTCACCAAATCGTTGCAGTTCCAGCCCTGGCAGAGGCTGTTCTGGGAAGTGGTGGAGTTTCCATCCATGAAGGGATTTAAAAGATGTGTAGACCTGCTGCCTGGGGACATGGTTTAGTGGTGGGCATGGCAATGCTGAGTTAAAGATTGGATTCAATTAACTTAAAGGTCTTTTGCAACCTAAACAATTGTAAGAGTCTGATTACTTTTCTCCTTACATTCCAAAAGCAAAACTGTTTCCCTGATTAATCTCTAGAGTATTTCTATATCTCCTCACTAGTCCCATTTGTGTCTGTTTATTCTGTGCCCGTCATCATAAGGAGCATGTTACAAAAATAAGTATCTCTATCTACTGCCAAATTTTGTCTAAATCAGACTGATTCCTGCCAGTACAGTTCTTGAATAGCTAAAATAAGAAAATCCCCATAAAATATGCCATTGAGAATTTGAAATTTTAACATTATACAGTATAATGTATATAGAATATAGATATGGAATGAGTTTTACCAGATCTTTCTGTGTAGCATTTTGCCTTAAGAATTTGAGATATCCTGAAAATGCTGGAGGAAAGCAAGATAAAGTGACTGTAGCCTGTACTTTTTAACTGAGACTCATTACAGAAGGTTGCAGTTTAGCTGCTTAAAAATACACTTATGGAATCCAACTACTGTCTGCTTGACTGAGCTCAATTTATTACAGGTGTAATGTTTTCTGTGCTATGCAAAAAAATCCAAGTCCAAGATAAGGACTGAACAAGATGTTCCTGAAAAAATTCAAACACAAAAAGGAAGCCTACAGAGGGTAGCAGCAAGGTCACATAGCTTGTCAGAAATACACAAAAAAAAAATCTGAGCGGCCAGGGATCAGGTTAGGTAAGCTAAAGCCCTAAGATAGAATTAAATCTGTCCTGGGATGTGAAAGGCAACAAGAAAAGCTTCTATATAGGTATATTGGTGCTAAAAGACAATTAGGGAAAATGGGAGTCCTCTGAAAGGAAGCAGGAGGCCTGGATACCTTTCTGAATGCCTTTTTAATGCCTTGCTCTCATGGACATTGCCCAAGGTGCAGAAGGCAAAGGCTGGTACTGGGAGAATGAGGAACCACCTGCTTAAGGAATCTTGTTTGAGACCACCTAAGGAACTTGGGGATCCCAAGCATAAGTCTGTGGGACCTGATGAGATACATCCACAGCTCCTGAGGGAACTGGCAAATGAATTGGCTAAAACTCTGTCATATTTGAGAAGCCATGGCAGTCTAGTGAAGTTCCATTCAATGGAAAACTGGAAGCAAACCCCCCCTTTTTTAGAGGGGGAAAAAAAGACAACTTTGGGAACTGTCACTCTGACATTTGTGCCTGTCAAGGTCATGGAGCAGATTCTCCTGGAAACTATGCTAAAGCACATGGAACCTGAGGTGATTGATGAGAGCCAACCTGGCTTCACTAATGGCAAGTTGTGCCTGACAATATCTGTGGCCATCTACAGCAGGGTCCCAACACTGGTGGAATGAGGAAAGAGAACTGGTATCATCTACCTGGACTTGTGCAAAGCACTGACACTGTTATGCATGAGAGCCTTCTCTCTAAACTGAAGAGTCATGGATTTGTTGGATGGAACACTCAGTGGATAAGGAACTGGCTCGATGGTTGCACTTAAATAGTTGCAGTCAAGGTTTGATGTCCAAGTGGAGACCAGTGACAAGTGTCCTCAGGAGTCTGTGTCGGGATTGGTGCTGCTTAACATCTCTGTCAGCAACATGGACAGTGGGACTGAGGGCATCCTCAGCACGTTACTGAGAAGTGTGATGCTGTCCACATAAGAGATACCATCCAGAGGGACCTTAACAGGCTGGAGAAATGTCACAAACATAATTGTGTGACTGGAGCACCTCTCTGTGTGAAGACAGGGAGTTGGAATTATTCAGCCTGGAGCACAGAAGGCTCCAGGGAGACCTTAGAGCACCTTTGAGAGCCTAAAAGGGCTCCAAGAGAGCTGGAGAGGGACTTGGGACAAAGAGGAATGCCTTTAAACTGACAGTGTCTGGATTTAGATTAGATCTTAGGAAGAAACTCCTCACTGTGAGTGTAGTGAGACAGTGGATCATGTTGCCTGGAGTTGAGGCTTCCCCATCCATGGAAACATTCAAGGCCAGGATGGATGAGGTTATGAGCAACCTAGTCTAGAGGAAGGTTCCCCGCCCATAGTACTAGATGGTTTTGAGGATCCCTTTCAACCCAAACCTTTCTAGGATTCTGTGAATACGGACAGAGGTTAGAGATACCTTTTTTCCACCAGGGGACAAAAAATTATTTTTCAACTCTAGCATTTAAATATTATAAATAACTATCCTAGAAAATAAATTAAAATTATTTGAATCACCAGACTTCTCAATTCTTTTTTCCAGGAATCACAACTGTGCTCACAATGACAACAATTAACACCCATCTTCGAGAGACTCTTCCCAAAATTCCATATGTGAAAGCCATTGATATGTACCTTATGGGATGCTTTGTCTTCGTTTTCATGGCTCTGCTGGAGTATGCATTGGTCAACTACATCTTCTTTGGCAGGGGACCTCAGCGTCAAAAGAAAGCAGCAGAAAAAGCTGCCAGTGCCAACAATGAGAAGTTGCGAATGGACGTCAATAAGGTAAACTGTAATGGAGATAAATTTTTAGCATTTCCCCAGAAAGGCAGGCTCTCACTTCTGTCAGACAGTACTTTAAAATGTAATTTCTTGTAGAAAATGAGTGGAGTGGAATTATGATGACCTTGTCTTAGCTCTACAGAGCAGTGTACTTAGCTACCTCAGCAATGATTGCTGCCCTCTAGCCTGGAAAGCTGAATAACTTGTTTCTAAAGCATGTGGTCACTGAAGCTTTAGTGAGAGATGTTTTCTTAGTCAGAATGTAGACTTGAATATGTACTATCTGTTTGTAAAGGAATAAATCCAAAATGATGGCTGTATATTCTAGTAAAAGCTGTATGGAACATTGGAACTAAGACCTCAATTTAACCTGCTTTCATAAATCTTTTGGATGAGCTAGATAAGAAATATTTGCCACAGAAGTCCTTAAAGCTTGACAAGTTTGCATACTTTCAATATATAAGGGGGTAGAATACTATTGACTTAATGAGGAATTTCTCAGAAATAAACCATCAAAGTGCTGTATACTTAATTTTGAATATAAAAGTTGCCCTCTAGGGATGGAGAATTGAGGCAGAAAAGATATTTGCCAAGATACACGCTTCTGGGAAAAATATCCATTATGCTTAATGAAAATGGGTCACTTATCATATAGCACGTGTAATTTATCACTTTGGCCATTTTGGGATGAATTTCACACAATGGCAAATCTGTGCTGAATGCAAAAATGTTTTCAGTCTAAAACATATAAACTTTCACACACATGCAGAATTGGAAAGTTAAATTATTAAAGGTTGAATTATCTTTGGAGATTTGGGTTTTTTTTGGAGGGGGTGAGGAAGTTGTGAGTTTTTTTAATTTTTTTTTTTCGTCAGGGGAAGTTCTTTGAATTGTAATTCATAATGACAATCCAAGGAGAAAAAAATCAAAGTCAGAATTTTAAAAAAATCTGTATTAGAAAAAATAAGGGATTATTTGTCAGTTGGAAACCTGACTTTCATACAGCTCTAGTACTGAAATTTCTAATGTTTGTTTAGAGCCTCTACACACAGAGTGGGCCTGCAGTGAAAAGAACAACTTATTCCAAAAATCCATCACATGTTGATAGCACAAAATAGTTTTATAGGTTATGGTTTATAGTCTTTTAAGGAGGAGAGTTTTATCACCATGGTTCAGATCTCATCCATTCACTCATTTTTTTATTTCTTTTTTTTGATTGGAGAGAAACATACTTCAATGAATGAAGGCATGCTCATAATGATGATTTTAATTTTGATGTTATGTTACCATATATCATATTTTAGCATTGTAAAGTTCATGAAGACAGTGTAGCATGTTTTTATTTCTATTTGTGATTTTTAAGCAATGAAAAAAAAAATCTATGAGTTTTTATTTAATTTTTCAAGGTTTTTTCTTTCTTTAAAATTAAATTTCACTTTAAAAAATAAAATGCTGTAAACTACCCTGCAAGTAATTTTGTAAGACTAGACCTGCATTTACCTGAAGTCTTTCCTCTAACATCACTGGAAATTTAAGATCCATAAGTGTCAGAGTTCCACCACCAGCTGAGGTATATTTTTATTTACACTTTGCTTCCCTTATGTTTTCAATATTCTTGTTCATACAATAGATCTTTCAGCTGTGTAACAGAACAGCAGAAGTCCAGTGGCAAATTGCTGATCATGAAAAGAATTTGAAAGCACCAACTGGTATGCTAATCCAATTTGCTAGGCAGAGTAAATTTAATTCAATAACTGTTGCAGAAATTTCCCAGTTTACAGGATTGACACAAGGTATACTGTGGAACACAGGTAACAACTTTACATGATTTGTATTTTCTTTATACTGAGCATTTTAGTTAATATACTAGGCCAGCATGGTTAATAGTCTATGGCAGTTTTGCTCTGGTATCCAGATCCACTGAGATCTGGTAATCAGTCTTGGAATCCTTTAATCAATAGAATCAAATAGGAGAGGAACAGAGAACTTGTCCTGCTGTGCAGAGACTGCTCTGGGGAGAGGGGAAGTTGTTCTTGTTGTTTGACCAGCAGCAAGAAAGCATATTAATATTTAATGGACCTGAATATTTTATCTATTAAAGGGAGACAAATATTATGTAATTATTTTCATTTATAAGAATCAGAAAGGGGGCTGAACTGCTGAAATTAGTTCAGAAACAATTTGTCATAAAAAGCAACTTATTTTAAAAATGGGATCATTCACTCTATCTTTAACTAGGCTTCAATAGTGAAGGATTGATTTCACAAGGTATGAGTCTACGTGCAATATTGTGAATTCATCAGAATCAGATATATACAGGAGAAGAACATGATGATGAAAACTTCTATGCAGAACAACTTCTATTACTGCATTCAGCATTGACACTGTGAAACAGGTGGATAAATAGTTTTTGGAACTGCTATTTGTAGCATCTTTGCTTTACTTTATAGACCAGAAAATCTGTAACAGTTTTGCAATTCATTGGAATTGCATCCAATCACATCCAATGTGATCTTGGATCCCTGTTTCCAGGGATGGGGCATCCACCACCTCTCTGGGCAACCTCTTCCACTGCTTCATCACTCTCATGTAAAAGAAAAAAAATCTTCCATATATCTAGTCTGAATCATCACATAAGATACACTCTGTTTTCAAAGACTGTTGATCCTATTTGGGGTAATGGAAAGACAGAGAAAGAACTGGGCCTAGATCTTGATTTGCTTCTTGGGTACTGAAACCTGAGGAATAAAATCATGTAGAAATGCAAAGAACATAAAACTCAAGGAAGATTCAGATTCAGTTACCATCAGATACATTCCCATAGACTCGTTAAATCATATTGGACTTGCTTGATTTTCCTTGCAGTGAGTTCAGATAAAAATGACTGTTGAGTATCATCATTCCACTCTTGAAACTTCTCAAGCTGTTTATTAAATTTTTATGAATTTAACAGTTTGTTCCTTTAGTCTAACTCATCATCTTTTGCTTGTCAAGATTAGGGCTTTTTTCTTACCCTTCTTACTCTAGACATCATTTATTTGAGATGGCATTCAATTCATTAATTTCTTCATCTCTCTTTTCAAGTTTCTCGTCTTATGTCTTGAAATGTCTTTCTTGCCTTGGTAGTCCCAAGTTTCTTAGTCTCTTCTGTTCTGACTGGCATAGTACTGCAAGTGTACATAAGGATAGGTACACTGGGGGTGTCCTATGTCTGCTCGAGGACCTAGCATGTCATAAAGTATGCTATGTATACTCTAAGCAATTGTTATGTCTTTTTATTCCATGCACTTTTGAATTTAAGAATGTTGATGTCATCAGTGTCCTTTTGGTCATTTGCATTTCATGAATCTTCATGCTAATATTGTCTGTGCTTCTTCAAGATGATTAACAGATACATTAAAATACAGGGCCAAATTCCAGATTCTGGCTTCCCAATATAATTCACCTGTCCTCCTGTGGGTAATTGTACATGCATCTGGGACATGTTATCTCTCCTGTTTTAAGATAATGTACCAAAGTCTTTATTGAAATCCATAAATCATATCTTTTAGTTCAGTAGCTACATACAAGTGGTCTAGAAAGATTTGGTCTAGAAGTCTCTATGAACCGGTTTTTTCTTTTCACTGTAATTGTTTTTTTTTTTTTCCTTTTGGGATAGGGGGCTAGGGGAGGGAAACAAGCTACTTATAACTTATATACTACTTATATAACTCTTCAGGATTTCTCCCTATGAAGTCTGACTTTGTCTCCAAGATGTGTCACCTAACTACAATTTCAGTGTAGAACCTGGTACAACTGCAGATGATTTCTTATGTAGACCCCCAGCCATTTTAATAAGTTCAATTTCTTTTCTTAGAGCTCAGATAATTAGTTTCTTTATGCTCTCTCAGAACTGGTTTATTCCCTTTCCATTTTTTACAGAATCCAGGAGCCAAGTCATTTTTGATTAATTTTTAAATTTACTATTAATTTATTGTTTCTAGGAATTTTACCTTGAATTTTTCCATCATGGAACTCTGATTTAGATAGGCTTGCTGGTGCTGACCATTGTGATGAGTCTGATAGATCTTTTAGACATTTTCTGTGTGATCACCTGCCAAGTTCTATATTTTCCATATGTTTTCCTGTGTTACTAAATTTCCTGTCAAGCAGCTGCATAAGCTGCTGTTACATCTGTTGGATTCTACTGCTGTTTTTTCTAGAGTTGCTCATCAGATTAATTTGATCCAAACTATTATGTACATTAACTGACTACTCTCGTGGTGTAAGTAGGGTGAAAATACTTTTTAATAGCAATTAAATCTATGTTTGTTAGAGTGGTAAAACCAGGACTGTCATTTTAAAAGTCCATGATAAATGAAAGGCTGACTCTTCTTCCTCTGTAAAGAAGTGCTTCTTGCCATCTATGTGTTTGACAAGAGGTGATTCCCATGGAAAAGCAGCTCTGTACCACCCTCTGCCACAGCATCAGGAGCTGAAATGTGTCAGGAACAGAGACAATACTCGCTGTGAGCATTGGGAGCACTTCCTTCATGAAGACTCTTCTTAAATGAAGAGCTACAGATCTGTCTCTTTAGGAAGCTCCTGGTCAGTCTTTTCTTCAACATCACTATAATTTCCTTACCAGGGTATTACCTAGAAACAGGATATGATACTTTATTTTTTCAGCTCAGATACAGAGGCATTACTACATAATGATCTGGTGCACTTTTCTTCCATTTCTAGTCTAACTCTTACCTGTATGTCATTCAGTGTTTGTTTCTAAATGATTTAATTCTTTTCTTTATCATTAAATCATCTAGGTTTATAAGAATTAATTATTGCAAATTCACATTCTCTATATAGAATTTTTTAGCTACATTCTTTCAAATAATTTGATTTGCTACTTCACAGAAGCAGCATTATGTTTTGCATAATGTAAAATACATATAAATACATCACTAAATGTGGTTTAGGTTGGGGGCAGCTGCAGTAATCATTGAAGTCTACATGTTTCCAACTTA